GCTGCTTCAACTCTCCTTCTCCGCAGTAGTAGGAGGAGGAAAGGAGCCAACTGCTGCAGGCACTTTGTGCTTAAGCCCCACGCTTTCCGGACATTATAGAATCATAGAATCATAGAGTTGGAAGAGACCACAAGGGCCATCGAGTCCAACCCCCTGCCAAGCAGGAAACACCATCAGAGCACTCCTGACATATGGTTGTCAAGCCTCTGCTTAAAGACCTCCAAAGAAGGAGACTCCACCACACTCCTTGGCAGCAAATTCCACTGTCGAACAGCTCTTACTGTCAGGAAGTTCTTCCTAATGTTTAGGTGGAATCTTCTTTCTTGTAGTTTGGATCCATTGCTCCGTGTCCGCTTCTCTGGAGCAGCAGAAAACAACCTTTCTCCCTCCTCTATGTGACATCCTTTTATATATTTGAACATGGCTATCATATCACCCTTTAACCTCCTCTTCTCCAGGCTAAACATGCCCAGCTCCCTTAGCCGTTCCTCATAAGGCATCGTTTCCAGGCCTTTGACCATTTTGGTTGCCCTCCTCTGGACACGTTCCAGTTTGTCAGTGTTCTTCTTGAACTGTGGTGCCCAGAACTGGACACAGTACTCCAGGTGAGGTCTGACCAGAGCAGAATACAGTGGCACTATTACTTCCCTTGATCTAGATGCTATACTCCTATTGATGCAGCCCAGAATTGCATTGGCTTTTTTAGCTGCTGAGTCACACTGTTGGCTCATGTCAAGTTTGTGGTGAACCAAGACTCCTAGATCCTTTTCACATGTACTGCTCTCAAGCCAGGTGTCACCCATCTTGTATTTGTGCCTCTCATTTTTTTTGCCCAAGTGCAATACTTTACATTTCTCCCTGTTAAAATTCATCTTGTTTGTTTTGGCCCAGTTCTCTAATCTGCCAAGGTCGTTTTGAAGTGTGATCCTGTCCTCTGGGGTGTTAGCCACCCCTCCCAGTTTGGTGTCATCAGCAAATTTGATCAGGATGCTCTTGAGTCCATCATCCAAGTCGTTGATAAAGATGTTGAATAAGACCGGGCCCAAAACAGAACCCTGTGGCACCCCACTAGTCACTCTTCTCCAGGATGAAGAGGAACCATTGATGAGCACCCTCTGCGTTCGTTCGGTCAGTCAGCCAGTTACAAATCCACTGAGTGGTAGCATAGTCAAGACCGCATTTTACCAGCTTCTTTACAAGAATATCATGGGGCACCTTGTCAAATGCCTTGCTGAAATCAAGGTAGGCTACATCCACTGCGTTCCCTTCATCTACCAGGCTTGTAATTCTGTCAAAAACGAGATCAGGTTAGTCTGACATGACTTATTTTTCAGAAATCCATGCTGACTATTGGTGATCACAGCATTCCTTTCTAGGTGCTCACAGAGTGTTTGCTTAATGATCTGCTCCAGAATCTTCCCTGGTATTGATGTCAGACTGACTGGGCGGTAATTATTTGGGTCCTCTCTTTTCCCCTTTTGAAAATAGGGACAACATTTGCCCTCCTCCAGTCTGCCGGGACTTCGCCTGTTCTCCAGGAATTCTCAAAGATGACTGCCAGTGGTTCTGAGATCACATCTGCCAGTTCTTTTAATACTCTTGGATGCAGTTCATCTGGCCCTGGAGACTTGAATACATCTAAACTAGCCAAGTATTCTTGTACTATCTCCTTAGTTATTCTGGGCTGTGTCTCCTCTGCTGAATCATTTGCTCCAAATTCTTCAGGTCGGGCATTGTTTTCTTTATCGGAGAAGACTGAGGCAAAGAAGGCATTGAGGAGTTCAGCCCTTTCTGTGTCCCCTGTTTGCATTTCACCATCTTCTCCTCTGAGTGACCCCACTGTTTCTTTGTTCTTCCTTTTGCTACAAACATACCCATAAAAGCCTTTTTTGTTGCTTTTAACCTCTCTAGCAAGCCTGAGTCCATTCTGTGCTTTAGCTTTTCTGACTTTGTGTCTACACGTGCTGGCTATTTGTTTGAATTCCTCTTTGGTGGTTTCCCCCTTTTCCATTTTTTGTACACCTCCTTTGTTAATCTTAACTTAGTTAAAAGTTCTTTAGATAGCCACCCTGGCTTCTTTAGGCACCTTCCATGTTTCCGTCTCATTGGTATTGCCTGAAGTTGTGCTTTTACTATCTCCCTCTTAACAAACTCCCAGCCATCATGAACTCCCTTTCCTTTTAGTATTACTGTCCATGGGATCTCACCCAGCACTTCCCTAAGTTTTATGAAGTCGGCTTTCTTAAAGTCAAGAAATAGAGTCCTAGTATGCTTGGCTGCTCCTTTCCGCTGTATAGTAAACTTCAGAAGAGCGTGATCACTCGCGCCTAATGATCCTTCCACTTCTACCCCACTAACCAGGTCATCAACATTGGTTAGGACCAGATCTAAACTGGCTGTTCCTCTTGTTGCTTCTCCCACTTTCTGGACAATGAAGTTGTCTGCAAGGCCAGTGAGGAATCTGTTTGACCTTATGCTCTTGGCTGAGTTTGACATCCAACAAATATCCGGGTAATTGAAGTCCCCCATTACTACTATCTCCTTCCTTTTGCTTGCTTGGCCATCTGTTCCAGTAAGGCATCATCTATGTCCTCCGTTTGGCTTGGGGATCTATAGTAAACTCCCACAATGAGGTCACTGTTATTCTTCTCTCCTTAATTTTGACCCAAATGCTCTCACTTTGGCTTTGAGGTTCTAAATCTTGGATCTCTTCACAGGTATACACATCCCTGACATATAACGCCACTCCTCCTCCTTTCTTGTCTGGTCTGTTTCTCTGAAATAGATTGTATCCCTCCATTATTACATTCCAATCGTGGGACTTATCGCACCAGGTTTCAGTGATGCCTATTATGTCATATTTAGTTTGCTGTACCAAGAGCTCAAGCTCATCTTGTTTATTTCCCATGCTTTGCGCATTAGTGTACAGACAATGAAGTCCATTAATCATTCCCCCGTGTCTCTTATTTAAGGATTTTTTCCTCCCACCACTAGGTCTGCGTGCTGTTTGCTCCATTTGGTCTATGACATTTGGATGATCATCTTCATCAATTGATAGACTCCTACCTTCAGGAGCACTGTCTCCCTCCCCACATTAGTCAGTTTAAAGCCCTCCTGATGAGGTTTCTGAGATTTTGGCAAAAACATTCCTCCCAACCGTTGTGAGGTGCAGCCCATCGCTTGCCAGAAGTCCATCTTCAAGAAACTGCAGTCCGTGATCTAAGAATCCAAACCGTTCCTGTTTACACCATTTGCGAAGCCAGCTGTTCACTTCCACTATTTTTCCCTCTCTTCCTGGGCCACTTCGTTCAACTGGGAGGACAGATGAGATGACAATTTGTGCATTTAATTGCTTCAATTTCCTGCCCAGAGCCTTGTAGTCTCTTTTGATCTTCTGGAGGCTATTGCTTGCAGTGTCATTGGTTCCCACATCAACCAAGAGGAAGGGGTATTTGTCAGTGGGTTTTATGATTCCTTGCAGTTGTTCAGTTACATCTTGGATCTTAGCCCCGGGGAGACAGCACACTTCCCGAGACATCTTGTCAGGCCCACAGATCACTGCTTCTGTTCCCCTCAGTAGGGAATCCCCTATCACCACTACACGCCTCCTCTTAGGTTTGGTCGGGGTTCTTCCGTGAGCTGTCCGTTCCAAGGTCGCCTGCACATTCCCTGAGGACTGACTTTGCTGCTCGTCTTCATATACCTGATCGACTGTAATGAGGGAGAGATCCTCAAATGGAGTCTGCTCTTCGTCTTCCATGCTAGGGGAGAGGACCTCAAAGCGATTGTGTATTTCTAAACAATCAGAGCGAACCCTGGGCCTCCTACTTCTTTGAGTCACGTTTCTCCATATATCTGGCTCCTGTGTTGGTGAACTAGCCTCCTTCTCAGGGGAGTCCCCTGTCTCCTCCTTGGTGGAGACGGTGTGCTCTGTTGCTTCCAAGAAGAGCTCCAGCTCTCTAATTCTTTGGAGCGTAGCTACACGTTCCTCCAGTTGCTGGACTTTGTCTTCTAAGAGGGCAATCAACATGCAATTGCTGCAGGTAAAGCTGCCTGCAACCTTTGGCAAGATGGCAAACATTGCGCAGGAACCGCAGGCGACTGCAGCTGTTCCCTCCATCTTGAGAACGTGTCGTTGGGGGTGGCTACAGTGGTCCTCCATCATAAAAAGTGTGAAGACAGCACAAAAAGCTCCCCACAAAAAAAACCTAGGTCTCCCCCAACAAACGTTTGAGACTAGCTCCCCTAAATCTAAAAGATGGATCAAACTGTGCACGCCGCTAGCCCTGCAAGCTCTGATAAGCTCCTCCCACAGCTAATCACCTGCCTCCCACAGCTAATCACCTGCCTCAACATTGGGGGTGAACCTAACCCCTACCACAAAAAATTGGGGTGGGGAGGGTTTGGCCCCTAGGAGCTAGTTTCCCTGCTCCTCATCTAATTTGTGCATGCTTTTTAAAGCCCCATAATGGACTCATGTAAGTCACTAATAGCTTAAGCAATGTTTCAGCTTAGCTTCCTTTTGTCTTTTGCTATCCATGAAATGACTTTTTTCTCAATAGCACACACAAGGTCTACAAAACAATGGCAAATAAGGAACCCACTGCTGTTCTTTTGCTTACAAAATAGCATTTCGATTCAGCCACCTGCTAAGTTAACAATTTAATGTTGCATGCATTAGTTCACACCTAAGCACAGGATACAGAAACATTCCATTGTCAAAACACATCCACCTCAACGATCTACAGATTACCGCAAACATGCGTCAAATTCCTTCAAAGAACCCCACAGCCAAGCGCCACTGCCTTGAAAATTAATTAACACAGAGAAACAAATGTTTCGGGTTGTTTCTCTGTCTTAAGGCATGGTGGCATGTCTTTCACCATCTCCATCTCTCTCTCTCTCTCATGCTGGGGGATGTCAGTAATGTAGGCATTACATTTTAAAAACAGATAATGGACGTAATCCACAGAATAACTTTTTCACACTTGTCTCCACAGGCTTGCGGCACAGAGATGCGATGCGACAATGCAGCTAGCTGCCACTTATGTGAATGGAAGGCTAAGAAACCATTTGGCTACTGTCACAAATGAGTGGCCACAAGAGGACGGCCTTCCCACCATGCTGGAGATTAAATTCCCCACGGACATGCCCCCATCGGTGCTGAAAATCATTGGGAAGGCCCGTTCCTTGAGCGGGTCCCTGTCCAGCGCTGACAGCACAGGGAAGTGACGGCAGGGAGTGTGCCAATCATCAGCCCTCGGCCGGGTCACACAGGCCCTGGGGCCTAGCTGCAGGGCCACCCACCAAATAAGGTAAGCAGATCTCTCGCGAATGTGTGGCCACTATTTTTCATTTTAAATAATGAAAATATATCTCCAATTCCAGCATGAATGTTCATAATAATCGTTCCTCATTTTGTTCCCCATTTTCTTTATGAGAAGTGCATTGAACCCCAGAATTTTCATGCCTGCTTTATGCATTATTTTTCCCAGTTGGGATAGAACAAAAATGTGGTTAACATTATAACTCTCTCTATATATTTGTTCCATTTGCTAAGTACCTTTTGAATGATGGGATTCCCTTTATATCCATCGCTAGGCTTCCCCCCCCCCATTCCTGCTGTACTAAATCTGTAGGTAGAACTTGCCAAATCTATGTAAGAGACTGGACATCACCTTGCAATTACTTGAAGAATGTTTAATATGCTTTTGAGTGCAATGTTAAAAGCTTTGTTGCATAAAGCAGAGAATTTTCAGTCACCTGATGTGTCAAATTAACCTTCTCTGGAGTTCTGATAAGTTCCCAAGACAGGCAACATTGGGTGGTTAAACAAAAACAACAATTTTGTAGGCTTGATTGGCACATGTCAGCTGTCTCTCAAGGGACATTGCCAGCATAATGTGCTGCCAGAATAGATAATTTTAGGCTGATATTTACTTTGGTTTGAAAACAGAAAGAAGTGAATCAACATTTTATTTCTGTGGGTTTTTCCCCTGAAAGGTTGATTAGTGTTCTTATTTTAAAACGTAAGAAAAAATGAATAAAGTAGGTCTGATGAAACATGGAAGTGCAATGCAAAATGCAAGGTACTTAATCAAGCAGCCATATAGGATCTATCCATAAAGGTAAAGGTAAAGGTACCCCTGCCCGTACGGGCCAGTCGTGTCCGACTCTGGGGTTGTGTGCCCATCTCGCTTAAGAGGCCGGGGGCCAGCTCTGTCTGCAGACACTTCCGGGTCATGTGGCCAGCGTGAAAAGCTGCATCTGGCAACCAGCGCAGCACATGGAAACGCCGTTTACCTTCCCTCTAGTAAGCGGTCCCTATTTATCTACTTGCACCTGAGGGTGCTTTCGAACTGCTAGGTAGGCAGGCGCTGGGACCGAGCAATGGGAGCGCACCCCACCGCGGGGATTTGAACCGCCAACCTGATGATCGGCAAGTCCTAGGCGCTGAGGTTTTACCCACAGCGTCCCCAGGATCTATCCATACACCATAGTAAACTGGAAATTCAACGTGCTAGAAATGTACAGGGATAAGCAAGCCATCTCTACTCTCAACACCTGCCTCCATCACCCTCTGTGAGTGGGAGATGAGTCTTCTGTATTGGAGGAGAGTCCCCCACCCCAAAACAGAACCCTGGAAAATCAAAGCTGTTCATAGTGCAGGGAGCTGACACAGGTATAATAATAATTTATAATAATAATTTATTATTTATGCCCCACCCATCTGGCTGGTTTCCCCAGCCACTCTGGGCAGCTTGTACAATTCATGTGTAGCCACACTAGTTTGTAATTGTTGAGGCCAGTAATGTGCCAGATGTATTTGTTTAAGTTGTTTTTTTTAAAAAAGGAGCAAAAATAATATCAGGCTTTCAGTTCTTGAATAGCCTTACAAGTATACCGTGCAATTGCTTTTATGTGCATAGACTGGGAGACATCAAAATATTTTGATGTTCGTAAATTTGCTTTTTGATGTAAACTATCACACAGCATGCATAGTAAATTCAAATAACTTCAGATTTTAAATAGCTGACATTCCACTACGGTCCAAAAGATTGTTGTTTTACCAGACTAGAGGTAAGGTTAAAGATAGGATTAGAATGAGGAAACTGTAGCTCTCTAGATGTTGCAGGACTACAACTCCCATCACCCCTGACCACACTGCCTAAGCCTGAAGCAGACCAGTAACAACTGGCAACCCACGGATTTGCCACAGGACAATTTAATGATCCGCCTGTTGGTGCTTCTAATGGTGGTATAATATCACTATGATAGAATCAGGTACCTGTGCATTTCCAGCAACAAAGTCAACACCCAGATGTACATTTGGTTGTTAATTTGCACATTAGGGGGTAACCATTTTGTGGCAGATGCAATCTGCCTCCCCCCACAAATAATAATACCACAAGATCCCGGGTATTCTGAAAAAAAATATTTTTAAAAATAATAACAAATAATTTATTATTTATACCCCAGCCCACAAACAACACACAAACTGATGCCTCAATGCGTAGAACTGAATTAAGATTGGAAAAATGAGAAATGGAGAGAAACTGGAATTGACATATTCGCCCACCTCTAGGCTTATTCTTAGCTTTTCTGTCAAGAAATAGTAACAGTAACAATACTGTTTCCATCTAGTCTTTTTCCAGTGGTTGGTTAGCAAATCTAAAGAGCCTTCACACATGATTAGGGGAAGGGACACTGTGTCCGGTTTAGTAGATCACAAGTTTGGAGGTCTACATTAAGGTATGAGGAAGTAATATCAAGAGTGAAAATATGAAGACACCTAAGATGGATTCATGGGTTCCTTGAATATATAAAATCATGCACATAGCATGATTGTGGTGGATTGGATTTATAACTTCCTGCTTCTGCCTTTTCTGTTCCTTCAGGACGTGAAGGTGTTTTTACTTTTTGTTTTTATGCATTCCCCCCCCCCCCAAGAATTTTTTGTGGATTTTTTACATGCCAAAACGTCAAAGAAAGCTTTTCATAATAGTTGGTAGTTGCAAATATATCTCATTTATACTCTGCTGGTAATGGGAGTGTTTCTGTTATAGCCCAGGTAATTTGCAACTGCAATTGTTATAACATAGTATTTGCATATTCATGCAAATTGTTTCAAAACATTTTATCTTTGTCTAGAGCTGAAACAATAAGTGCATGAGTAGAGTTAATGATTCTGAATACATCTGGGAGTATAACCATGTCATATTCTCTGACGGTCTGTCAATGATGTGTCCTTGAAACACAGTGAATGTTGATATGTTTTCAGCAGAACACACATGAATGGTACAAGTATCCAATGCAGTGGTAGAATAATTCAATTATTTGAGCTATCGGGTCTATGGCAGCATTAAATAGTTGTCAGTTAATAGTATAATTACCAAAAGAAAAAAAGAGAGAATTTCTTAGCTTTGGAGCAATTAGTTTAAGGAGCTTGCTTATCTTTTTTTAAAAATCCTTATTTTTTACTATTACTAGAGGAAATTAATATAATGCTGGAAGTTTTGCCTTATTCCTAGACAAAATACTCTATGTGAGAAACTCGGGAACTGTAATCAGTGCCTTTAGTAACATTCAAAATTAATGAAAACCACTAGATGAAGAATGCCATTCAAATACTGACAAAACATGGCACAGTACCTAATACGTGTCTATGACTTTGCTAAATGTAAGTTTCCTATCAAAGCAATATTATGGTTCAATCTGTATTAAAAGAAAGCCTTGAATTAGTGATTAGGAGATATGGGGCACCCTGTCCAACGTTTCATGTTGGAATAAGAAAAAGAACCTATGTAGTCACAAGTGGTTGTTGGAAGATATTGGCTCCCAGTATGTTTCGGGGCACAATTCAAAGTGTTGGTGCTGACCTTTAGAGCCCTAAATGGCCTTGTCCCTGTATACCTGAAGGAGCGTCTCCACCCCCATTGTTCTGCCCGGACACTGAGGTCCAGTGCTGAGGGCTTTCTGACAGTTCCCTTGCTGTGAGAAGCCAAGTTACAGGGAACCAGGCAGAGGGCCTTCTCGGTAGTGGCGCCTTCTCTGTGGAACGCCCTCCCACCAGATGTCAAAGAGAAAAGCAACTACCAGACTTTTAGAAGACATCTGAAGGCAGCCCTGTTTAGGGAAGCTTTTAATGTTTGACAGACTATTGTATTTTAATATTTCGTTGGAAGCCGCCCAGAGTGGCTGGGGAAACCCAGCCAGATGGGCGGGGTATAAATAATACATTATTATTATTATTATTATTATTATTATTATTATTATTGACATTGGGAACTGCTCCAGAAAAACATGACAATGCATGACTAGGGCCTGAAGTTTCTTTTACACGTGGTCACTCTCACACTCCCAGGCAGGGGTGCCAACTCCTCAGGACCAAACCCTATTGGCCCCCCATGTTAAAAAATACCAGGGCTGAGTGTGGTGTGGCTTCAGTGGCCGGCTCCTTTTCCTCCTCCACCTCCAGGTAAAAGGGGGAAGCAGCTGGTGGCAGTGGTGGGAGGAGGAGCCGCTGGCCATTGAAGCTGCACTTTTGACACCTGCAGCAAGAATTATTTTAGCCCAGAAATGGAAGCGACAAGAAATACCAACGAAAGAAGAGTGGCAGATGAAGATGATGGACTTTGCTGACGGGGAAAATCCAAAACCAGCATGATCAAGCATTCCAAAAAGACTGGAATAAATTTATACAACATCTGAAGGGCCATTGTAAGCAACTAACAACACTAGCAGGGTTGGAAGAAGACTTGTAACGACAACTCTTCTTACCTTTTTATATTTATTTAAAAATTGTGACATTTTGAATGAGTAAAACATAAATTGGAAAATGTATAAATGCTATGATATAAAGATTAATTTTGAAAACCAGGAGGCAGGAGGGAAGAGAGTCCACAGGCTCTTAAGAGCAAAAGAAGTTAAGTGGGTAATAAGAATGTGTTTAAATATTATAAAATGGAAATTCAATAAAAATTATTATAAAAAAAAAGAATCTGTGTTTTTGTCGCATTTAGCTCCGCCCATGGCTCCTCCTGACGTCCTGATGTGATGTTACGTGCATGACATTGGCCTCCCCCCAATCTCCCTCACAAGCTGGTGCCTCTGTTCCCAGGAAGCTTTCTAAAACAAACAAACAAAAAACAACCTGCCCATTTGGCAATTGAACCAAGGACACAGGAAATACATGTTTTACATGTACATGCATAATATATAGGGTTAA